CGCAGTCACTCCTAGTGAGTTCACTTTGATGTCTTTGATAGGCGGCATGTATGCATTCTTAAAACTAGTCCATGAAAGTGAAGTTGATGGAGTTTTCTTTATCAATTCTAATAACTTCTCCATCGCTAAATCTATCTAAATGTAAACTGACGTCCCTTAAATTTTCTAGGTTACGGTAACATGTTATATTTATGACATGTAGTCACTTATCAATGCAGGTTTCTTAAGGCTGAGGAAAAACAAAATTGGCGTAATCACGTGTCGTTGAAATTCGCCCATAATAACGTGCTGCTACATGTACATTTCTTAAAGAGAATAAAGCTAATATATTTCGACGGTTTCTTTCGAAAATTGTCTAAAACACCTGAGTAAATTAAACTTTGTAAAGTTTCCCTATTGTCAGCGCTGAGCTTTGTGCTGGTACTTCCTAAACAGAATGAGATGTATTCCTGTTTAATTTGTGGCTATAATTTTGGAAAAGTTTCTATATTTTAAAAAGCAATAGCTTTACAGGCTCTATTCATTACTATACTAACACACCACTTTTGGTAACAACTTAAGGTTAAAACTTTGTACAGATGGTTATCATCAAAGATATACGGTTTGATCTCGTGGGTCACAGACATCCGTTACCCAAAAGACAAAGTGCATATTTTCGAAGCGCTTGATATTGAGTCTTCTGTTGAAACTTGGCTCATTGCGTGTTCAACGTAAAGACTTTGTTTTTGTCTCTTGATATGGAGACATTTTCCCTGTCGATGCCTTCTCGCCTCTCCAGCCTTTTATGTTTGCCGTTGTAAACTAAACGCGTCCCTTCGATTGCGTCAATACCGTCTAACTTATCCTTGTGATTAAGCATGAACTCAAGGATTTAGTGATTTAGAATGATTTAGTGAGCACAGCCTCTTAAATTTAGTAAATAATTCATAACTTAGTTGAACAAAGAATGTCTGTATATATACTTAATTAACCATTTCTCCTAAAGTATTTTAAAAATCCCAATTTTCCTAAGCAGACTAGTGACTATATACAAAGTGCAGGCAAATAATTGAAATCAAGGCAATCGAGAAAAAATCTGGTGAGTAGCAGGGTGGAAAGCTTCAACCTGGGACCAACATAATCATGACATGCCCAGCGCCCCTAACCACTCGGCCACCCTGTAATAGATACCAAGAGTGCTTCTACTTCTGACCACTTTGCATAATCCTCAATTAATTATAACCGTTCCAATTTCCTAGAATATGATTGGGGGATAAACCGCCTCATTTTTCATAAATTATAAAAATTGGGCACCTTTTCTTGGACAATTACTCAGCCAATCACATTGAGTATACTAAAATACAGTTCCTTAATCACAAAATGTATCACTGTACAGTAACCATGGCAATTTACATAATTGTAAAGATAGCTGATTTCATGGGCTTTTTGAGTGTATTAGGTAAAGGTTCAAATGTTTAAGTATTTAAAGATTGGAATTATGAACTTTCCGTTCCGTGAAAACAATTTGTTTCCTTGTCTGAAATTGCAATGGTAATAATTAATTGGTAACAGGACTTCGTTTCGTCCGATGCAGTCAGTAATCATGCTTGTGATTAACATATTGGACTCCCACTTCCCTTTTCTTCGATTTGGTAAATCAATCGTATGATAAGAGACCGATTTGGACTCCACACGCTCTTATAACTATTTAGTAATCATGACGTGAGAAGCACAATTTAAAGTCTTACAGTCAATTACCATGATAAACTAGTGCCCCTTTCCCTCCAAAGCTTAAACATGTTCTATAGCTATTTCTTCGTAGAAGCTACGTAAACCAATGTCTGTTGACTTCAAATTTAAGGCATTGCAAATACTAGTTGATGACATCTTAACGCTATGAAAAATGTATTTTTTCACGGTTTCTTTCCCTGAGTTTCTTTCAGTGAAACCGCTTTAACCAAACGCGTTTTGCTGGTGTAAATGGGGTTCAAGTGAAAGAATAATGTCCTTATAACCGCAACATCGTTGTAAGGCAAATCTGATTACTCATCCAAACTCCATTCACTGAACCAGTACGTAACCCATGGCTTTGATGTCTTTGTCTCCATTATCCACCTCGTGCTTAGCCACGTTTCCACAGGTGTTATCAATTTTTCCTTTTGTACCAAACCCGAGCCTGGAATCACACGAATAGCATTCATCTTCGTTATTTGTCACGATGCCAATCCTTGCGGATTCTTTGCGATCATGACATACTGCGTTGAACCCTTCCATATTACAATTGAGCTGTAAAGAGGCATGATCACCAAGTAATTTCTTCCACGTTTCACGACCCAGGGATGTATTGCGATATTTTCCGTCAGCGATCAGTGAATACAGAGAGTCAGCTTGCTTGTTGATGACAATGAACCTGAGCTTCTTGTCGGACATCATACCGAGACAGATCTTGGAGAAGGATGTGTTCCAGTAGGTGGGTAGCTTTGTTTCCTGTTGGTCAAATCCAGTTT